AAGCCACATATTTCAGGTCTCACTACTGCCAGTGCCATGCAGAGGGATCCTGCATCGCCTCTACACAGGGATCCACACCGACCAGACCCAAAACACCTTGATGAATTTTGACTGATCTTGCTGTAGACAGTTAATAAAGTCTCTGAATAGTCTTACGGAGTTTAACAATTGAGACATGCACTTCTCTCACAAGAGCAACAACTTCTCCTTACACTTGCTTTCCTCAAAAATAAGCGTGTTTTTGGAGAAAACTTTCGATTTCAGGACTGTCCAAGAACTGATCCTAGTGCTTCCAGAGCAAAGGATAAACATTTTGCTCCTGCTCTTCTCCAGTTATTTAGCTATTACATTTTTCACTGTGTTGCTTGTGTTGGCACCTTTCCTGAACTATAAAGCTGCTAAAGGTCATTCAGTAGGCACAACTGCAGCCCAAAGTTCTTTTCATCTATACTAAAATACCTGGCCATACTTTACAGTCAGGTCCACACACATCCATGTGAATCACRGCACACAGAATCTCTTTTGACACAGTGTTCCAGGAGTAAGTAAATTATCTGGTATGGGGCATTTTAAGCTATCTACCCAAACTAGAAACAGGGATAAATTCTAGTTTAACAAACCCTCATAGTCAATTATACTTTTTTAAACTCCAGAGTGGCTTATAATAACCTTTTTGGAGTGGATGACTAAAATAGACACTAAATTTCAATAGCTTGCTCAATAAATAAGGGTAGTAATTAAAAGCAAATCCTCAAAAGCAAGATAGTAAGTGAAATTCTCATCCTTGTAATTTAAAAATTAAATGGGATACTAAGATCTACAAGGAAAGATTCAAACAAATTATAAGGATGCAGAAAATAATGAGGCAAAAGTGAATTGTGAAATCTGTACAGCTCAGAGACATTTTACTGCTAATCTGCCAAAAGGGAACCCAAGAATTATTCCTCATCTCAGAAAGACACAGAAGAAAGAGGAATAAGAAAATATAATGCTAAATACTACCATCAAGTAGACTAATAAATTGTTTCAGTCAATCACATGGATTTCTAAGAAAAGGGGTCAARACATGGCATGGAAGGCACTGAGGAATAGGTAAGATTTGCAGGAAAATTGAATGAGGAATCCTGCGCTGCTATGAAACAGTTTTCTGAACTGTTTGTCACTTGAATAAAAAAAACAAAACCAAACCAAAACCAAAGAAGAACTGAAAAAATGTACCTGGAACCAAACAACTCACAGAATTCTATTTTGGAAACTCGGAAATCAGGCACTTCTGTACCTCATACCATTCACACAATTTATGATCTGCCACCTGGGTAATCTCCAGCAGAGTCAGGGATCCTGACAAGGGCAGCAGCTACTCATTCAGCATCGAGGAAAGGCAACTCCAACCAGTGCTGCCAGGCAAAGCAGTGTTAGTGCTAGATTTCTAGAGGCCTCAACAGGAAAGGTGGGAGCCCTGGCTCCTGATCCCTGACATCCCCAAACTGCCCAGGAACCACAGGCAATATTCAAGGATCCTGCAACTAGTGGGCCCATCATATAGCAAGTGACAGCCCCTMTGTTTTGTTTGCCCATCAGACTCAGGTATGCCTTTTTCTTTCCCTTTTTTTTTTTCAGTAGGTTTTATTAGTCAGTACTATTGCAACAGCTGCGCTAAGGAGGGAGTACCAAAAGTACCAAAAGTACTCAAGTACCAAAACAAACCCACCCTTATGGCAAAAATGCTACAAATCTTTCCAAAGTCACTGAGGCTTCCAAAAAACTTCCAAGTTGCCTGAGATAAAACACTTAGACAATTCACGCCTTCCTTCATACTCAGTGGAAAGCAGATGAGTACATGAGTATATCAGGTCACAACTCATTTACTTTAGTGCACCGGGCTGAGATGAATCACACCACAGGAACATCCATCCTGGCGGACCACCTTGGACATGGATGAGTACATATGGCCAGAYGAATGCCACCATTCAGCACATGACAGATTTTCAAGTATTTTGACCCTGGGATAAAGAAGGATAGGGATATAACAGGTAACTAAAAAAATCTCGGATACTGCCAAACAGACAGTACACAGAAGACCCACTCAGGGTTACTAACTGGTCAGTACTGACTGAAGCTGACCCAACCAACTCTGCCTGAAGTACTGAAATAGTTCTCCACACCACTCAGCCTCACAATTCTGACGGTCAATAGCACCAGTTTCTCCACATATTAGCCAGCAGGACTTCTTAGCTCATCCTTCGAGAAAGGAAAAGGAGATGTGTCACATTGCCATCTGCCCTTTGCCACCACAATGGCAGGCAACAAATCTTGCCAGCATCTACCCAGTATATCTGCAGACAAAGTAACTCACCCTCTTTTCCTCCTGCCCCCACTCTATGCTGAAGCTTTTAGCATCACAGATATGGGTCATCAGAAGAGAAATAAACTTATCAYTTTGTTTAAAGCTGGGATACAACTGGAAGTGACATTGCTGAAAGGCGAYGAAAGTCTCACTAACCTGTCCTCAAGAGTCATGCTAGACCAAGAGTCAGCTAAAGGTAGCGGAGGCAGTAATTGCAGCAAGACCCCTGCCCTTCTTCACTCAAACCATATTTCTCCCTCTCCTCTTTCCCATGTATTTTTCTTCTTTTCTCACTATTCCTTCTTTCCCCTCCCTCCCCTATCCTGGCACACACCAGGCCACCAGCTGCACTCAACACCAGCCAGATTGGCACCTCCTCTGGTCATCTCAGACTCATGCTCTCATAAAGGTTGGAAAAGGACTCCAARATCACCAAATCAAATCATTATGAGTGTCACATAACTTGAAGCAGAGACACAGAACTTAGGCACAACACCATGAGGAGGAACAGTACCTGTCATCTGGCAATAGATTACACAGGAAAAAGAAGGAAGGAAAAAAAATAA